AATTTGCTGGATTATTACGATCACCATATGTATGGATGCGGATTACTTTTCCTCTCTTCCAATGTGTAGGTAAAACCGCGTAGTTGAAGAAAAAACGTAAAAATTATGCACTGATATTTTGATGTTTATTTTGCACACCGCTTTAAGAACTCGTGAGGCAAGGGATCGTGCCCATAACTTTTCTTTGGGTCAACATTATTGTGCACAATAAAAATTCCAGCTTCTAAGATTTTTATGTTGTGTATACCAGGAAAAATATTGTCATTAAACCCAGAGAGCAAACCGTTGTCTTTCTTAAAGACACATTAGAAAGAAAAAAAAAAAGAGTTCAATTCATCGGGATTAATAGCAGAAATTTCCTTTTTGTTAGGCGCAATATAACCCCAGAACTTCTGAGGCGCACTTGTTAAAAATGAGCGCAACGTTACTGTAAAGAAGAACTTCTTTGATTGAAGGATCATGTCCTTCAATGGGCAGCTTAATTGCTGTATAACTTGTCTCCGGTCAGCTGTTCCCTGGTGTCTAATAGCTGTTTTTTTTTTTTTTTTACCCGGACAATTTTTTTCTTGAGGTGGAGCATAGAAAAGCTTTATTATATTACTCTTCTTTTGACAGAAAGGAACATATCGAGGACATTTGTACAATGTGCAAGAAACGAAACCACATTTGATCACTGTCTCTATCACAAGTACTGCAAAATGTAGTATAATTATCCAACGACGTTTTCAGGCAGTTGATGACGCTTTCTTCGTCAGCTCTGCGAAACTCCGGTACACTAACCACGTGAAGATCCGAGTTCTTAATTTTACCTAACGGAATAGTGATCAATTTCATTTTGTGATCGGAGAGTTCCTCACAAATGTTACGTTGATAATCAAGGCTAGACAGTGGATTAAAGCACAAAATCAAGGGTAGAGTGAAAGATATCCTGAATTCTAGGAAGTCCTCAACGACCTGTATTAAGTTAAGAGAAAACATGATATTCAACAGGACTTCACCATTGTGACGATGAATACTACTAACTGGTAAGTATGGCCTCTTAATATATGGCAGATTAAGATCTACTGCCAAAATAAAGTTTCACGGAAGATGGACAAACTGTTCTAGGCTGTCACGCAACTCTTTAACTATATCTATCGAAGAGTTCGGTGTCCTATACATTGCACAAATGATAAGTGATACTCCTTGAGCAACCACCTTGCAGAGGATAGCTTGCAATTCGTCATATCTCTTAAATGTTCGCAGGATACCTCTCGTTTCAAAAAAAGCGCTACCCCCCCCCCCCCCCTACCACCTTTCGAACTATCCCTTTTAAGAACATTGCATTAAGGGGGACATGTTTCAGGGTTAAGAATGTTAGAATTAAACCACGTTTCTGTAACCGCGTTAAACCACGTTTCTGTAACGGCACGAGATCTTAAAGCGGGCTTGAATGTTTTTGCAGCCAACCAGGAATACTACTTCAAATGGATGGTTGGGTGAGTTAAATACTTAGAATGGATGCTTTTGCGTGTATTTTGAGTGTGAGTGAGTTTACTTTTGTGCTATATCCTACATCATGAATACTATTCCTGGTTGGCCGCCAAATAGCGGGTTGCCGCAGCTATTTCTATTTGGTATGCTATTTGCTATTTATATTTGTTATGCTGACCTTTTTTATTGTTCTACCTGCACCATCCCATGGCCTTCAAAAATGGCCGGTAGTATCTTCACAATGAATAAAAATAAATAATCAAATGCATTTCATGCATTAATATACTTAATATATAGGGTGTTTTTTTTTAAGCTTTACATATTTGTTTTAAAAAAGCCGTGAAAGTTACACTTATGCGGTCAGGGGGACATTGTGTGGGTGGCTAATCTTTGCAATAAGTGGGCTAATTAATTATTATTAACTTAACTTTTTGATTATCGTTAATTAACTTTTTGATTAGTGAAAATAGACATATGGTTTCAATTAGAAACTTGCTGAGCGTCATCGAAAACCACTAAATCAACTCTTTATAGAACGACTTGAAGCTCGTGGGAAACTTGAGGGCGCACCAAATTTACCAGTCGTGCAGCAGGCGCAAAGCTGGCAGTGGCGGAACACGATGATAATCTAATCATCCGCGTTCCGCAACCGCTTGCCTTGTACCTGCTCCACGAAGAGTAACTTTAGTGCACTACTACGCTTCTCACGCACTCAAAGCCTTTCTGAAAATTCTGATTTAGTGGTTTTCGATGACGCTCAGCAAGTTTATAATTGAAACTATGTGTCTATTTTTTATTTAAACAATTAATTAACGATTTGTAATTAATTAGCCGACTGATTGTTACGATTAGCCCCCTGTACTATGTCGGCCTAGCCGTATAACACACCTGCCAAAACCGCAAAAGTGTAACTTTCACGTTTCTTTTTATTCAAATTTGTGAAGTGCTAAATAAATAATAAAAAAAAACTCTATATTGGTACTTTACATCCGCTATAGGCGGTGTCAGTTTTTTTTTTTTTTTCTTAATTTCTCGCGCATGCACACGAAAGTTGAACTTTCGTCGAATTCTCGTCGAACTTTGCCTTCAAAGCAGTTGGAAAACGTCGAACCTGGTCGAACTCGTGCCGCAGCGGTTTCGCGACGTCTGTAAATAGTATTACCACTTGCCCGAAGGTACGGACAACAGTTACTTAGAAATGCTGCGTTTCTACCGCGTTCCGAAAATAAGTTTAACTCGGACTCTGCTCCGTTAATATTTGATACTGCGATACCTTTCGAAAAGGAAGCAATTGAAAAAAAAAAAGAAGAAAAAAAAATATTTTCTTTAGGTTGCCACGTGTACGACCCTTCGAGCAGTCTTAATTCTCTGGCCTCGTGCGTCCTAAATTAACGTTTTAACGATCACATGCTTTATGAACTTGCAGTTACGGCAAATTCTTAATAAACTTTAATAGAGCTAATGGGTGTCAGGAAAACGCAAATCAGGTTTCGGGTTTTTTTATTTATTTTTTTCAATTCTTTTAGCTTTGGGTACGGGTGGTGTTTTTGGAGCGGTATAGAAAGGATTTGAGTTGGTCACGACTTAAAACATTCACCAAACTTGTGTCAAATATAGAAAAATATTTTTAAATACTTGGTAGAAATAGTATCACTGCGAAAGCAGTATGCCGCGGTAATAACTTGATCGAAAGCTTGTGATTTTTTTTTTGTGTTCGATAGTCTAAGAAGAAATACGTTTACCCCGTCTTTTCTTTTTTTCTGTTTTCATAGATCAATGAAATAGTCGGGTATTTCTCTCACAGCCTTCGGGACCATACTGCTGTCCCTTTAAACATAAAGACTGGTTTCTGTTGTTCCAAGACATACAAGAAATTCTTGTGTCGGGCGACGCCGTTCATAAGTCCAACCTCTTCGAACTTTACCAAACGTTCCAAAAAAAATTGGCCGACCCAGACAAAACTCGAACTTTAACGTCTGCTACACACAGTCTCCGACAGCTTAAGGAACGTAGGGCGGGGCTCGTCCTCTTCGTGCTTTCTAGCTTCGTTATTGGTTGCTGGGCGTTCTCGTCTGCTAATGCCACAATCTGATTGGCTGCAAAGCGATAAGGAGATGCTATGGAGTCTGGACTCGCCATGCTCTTCGTTTCTTTGCAACAGACTACGAATCGGGGGACTAGGGAGCCTTCCGCATTCTAGGCAACGCTACCTGAATTCACTAGCGATCACGTTTGGGGGAAGGGTTGCAGGCACTTTTCTTATACTGGTTTTCACCTCAAGAAAAAAAAAATTTGCGCAATGTTCATACGCCGCGGAAAGTAGTTCTTACAAGATTTCGTTGTCGGAAGAAGAAGCGATGCTTTTAATGTTTGAAAGGTGTACGTCTTGATAAGATAACGCATGTCTAGTCTAAAGTGCGCCTACGTATATCTTAATTATCCGCATAAAGGTGAAAATTAGTAACACTCCGCGAGGAGCCGGACTCTTTTTTTACCACTGTTCTTCAGGTGAAAACGAGTATCGGTGGTATTGCTGTGGCCCGCGTTCCAACTGCGAATGCACGCGTCTCACGTACCAGCGGCTGCCGTGTAGACTGTGTGTGCTTACCCGCTCGCTGGCACGCTGCCTACTGCTCGTAAGGGCAAAAAAAACAAAAAAAAACGAACAAAACGGATAATAAAAAAAAAAAATGGAACTACCGATCGAGTCGCTATGCTGTGGTGACGGCCGTCCGCCCGTCTTCTTTTCCGCGTGCCACCGCGCTTACACGTACAAAAAGTTACCAAGGGAGGATCGGGGCGAAAACTGTTTCTTACGAAAGTACAGTGGACGGGAAAGTGCGCCGAGTGGAACAACGGACCGGCGCGCGGTGAACGCCACTTAAATTCCCGTCGCTCGTAATGATACCTCGTCGTCTTGGTCGGGGAAGGACACGGAGTTGGCGGCGAGTCGTCGGTTGTTGATTCAAACATTCGAGCGTTGGAGCCCCAAGACGACGGCTGTCTATTTTTTCGCGGAGATCTGGCGGTCCTCCTCGCCAGCTTCTGTCCGTGCACCCATACCGCTCCTTGTGCCGTTCTCGCGGTAAGGGTAACCTAATTGTGTTGCGTGTATATGCTTATAGGCATCGGGAAGTTAGTCCGCGCCAATATGCGTCCGGTGTCTCCGTTGGTGAGAACGTTTGCCAGTGCCGTACCCTTGCTAAGCCTGGGATCTTGAAGGTGCATCATGCAGTAGAGGTGCTTGCCTGTACGGTGCTCGTCGAGATCGAAACGGAAAAGACTGAAGATTAAACCTAGCACTGTCGAGTTCTGCAGTGCCAGATTCGACTCGTGACCCGAGCTGCGGGGCGTTCACACACTTGGTCACTGATACCCCCCAACAGATCTTGGACCTTCCTAAAAATTAGGTTGAGGCGGAAAATTATTTTATGAAGTTTCATTTTCAGGTTCTTCCTACAAACTTCTACACCCGTCACATTTTCTTTTTTTTAAGTACGATTTGAATATAGACAACACTATTTCAGGTGGTTTAATGGAGCGACCGGTGTTGGTCTTCGTCGCGGCCCTGGGGCTGACTTTGACGGTTTCTGGTCTCGAGAACGGACTCGCCAGGACACCGCCTATGGGATGGCTCGCTTGGGAACGATTCCAGTGCAACATCGACTGCGCCCGTGATCCCGAAAACTGCATAAGGTGAGTTCGTAATCGTTACTACTCTTGGTACAGGAAAGCAAATTCACTCGAGCAAAGAAAGGAAAGGAAACGGGGTGGTTTCCTTGCGGTGCTTCGTTTACGCTGTCGCTGTCGCTTTTCGACCACGTCAAAAAAACGACAACATCGCTTGCCTTTCATGAAGACAACATTCCGCTGATTAAATTGCGACGAATCACACAGCTCGTAAATAAGCACAAGGGTTTTCATTCACTTACGAGGGACATACTCGGCACGTCGGCGCTTTTGATCAGCTATCTATTCTTCCGCCTAATCCTACTTCTTGAGAGGGATGCATTGCGCAAATTGCAGCACATCGTGTAAATGCCTCGTCCTTTGACCCGAGAATGCGCGCGACAAGAAGAGGATAACGGTGCATAATAGCTATCGTTTCACAAGTCGCACCCTTAGCGGTTGACCGTCGGTTTCAAACACTTTGGTTCAGCTGGGTTTGATTCACCTCAAAACAAAGTTCGGAACGTCGTCTTTTTTTTTTTTTCTTTCAATTTAGTTTCTTTAATTTCCCCACACATGTACTTGCGTTTTGTGCTACAGATGTACATCTTCATTAAAAAAATGCAAATAGAATGGTGTTAAACGCATAGAAAGCCAAATCTTATTGCTCACTGTACAGTTGGTACATCGCATTTTCAATCTAGACGTTTTCCCCCCTTTGTATATTATTGTAGTTAGACCGTTGCATGCGATGTGCGGAAGTGAACTGCATGATTTTAGTTTTGAACAACGCCTGACCATTTAAATCTCGGTTGATTGAGATTATTGATGAGCGCCAAGCATCGTCTCGGAAATCTGGTTGTTTAACTCGGTCCAGGTAAGTTCTGATCGACACTATTCATGACTCGCGATTGGTCATTGAAATGGGAGGATCTTCCAATATATCAGAGCAACCAGAGACGAATCAGAAGCGATGAACGCCGTTGTGATGAGAAACGCTCTGTAGCTCATAAGCAGTGATTGGCTCTCCATACGCTCTGATAATAAGTAGACACTTGAGTGCCGGTAAAAGACAGACTCTAAAAAAAGAAAGAGAAAAAAAAATCTTTTGCATCTAGGCTGGGTGGCGCAAGCTACCACCCGTTATTATGGTACGGCTAGAGCCGTATATGTGGAGAGTGTGATTATTCATTGGGAAGTATAGGAGACAAACGAGGAGGCTCTATTGGTCGAAAGCGTGTTGGGCGTGTTGCTGGGCGTCTTTACAAATTCGAATGTGGCCAACCAGAAGCCGGAAATGATACCCTGGTGGTGGTCGCAAGAAACGAACTCAATAAGTGCATCGGAGTAACTCTCGGTGATTGAAAATATGGTGCACGTGATGACGGTCATCCAAAGTCATGGTGGACGAGTGCCACATAATCCAAACGCCAGGCGCCGAAGGCCGGGAATCTGCCACCCGAGCGGTCACACTTCGTCCGAGCAAATCAGGGTTTAGCGGAACATGATCGTCTCTTCAATCTTTCTGCATGATCATAACCGAAACATCACGTGCACCCTATTTTCAAACATAAAGGGTTACCACATATAATTCTTCAGCGCTTATTAAAACCATATACCTATAATTAAATCTGTTTCTTGCTACCACCGCTAGGGGATTCTTTTCGGCCTCTGGTTGGCCAAGGGAGCATTTCAAGCTCTCTTTCTATGTCTGGTGCACGCCCCGGCTCTGCCTGCGCCTCCCATTGACCCAACTCTCTCTATACGCGGCTCTGGGTACAGCCATTTGCATCCATCTATCTGATTTACTGCAGAGCAGTCGTAGAGCCATTCAATGTGGTCTAATGTGGGAGCTTGGCAAATAAGAGAGCACAAAACAACAACATGTTTTGACACTTTAACACGATGTGACGCTGAGAACGACGTTAGCATCCAAAGTATCAAAGCTGGTTCACAGATTTACGTTTGATCGTGATCGACGGCGGATTAGTTTTATCTAATTTTATCAAAACGTACACGTTCCAAACACCGAAAGCATTGTTTCTTCCTTCGACAACCAAATTTTGTAAAAACAACTTCGTGCGAAACTTCTTTTTTTAGCCTGACAACGAGTATAGATGTGAAATTGCTGCAGTAGTGGGAAGGTCACATATACGAACTATGGAAGCCTACAAGGTTGTCAGATTTATATCAAGTTAATGGTGAAAGAATAATGGGCAAAAAACCACAAACTCGACGTGCAGATCGGAACTGTTCCACTATATCCACCCCTTAGATGGCGTCAGTGTGTCCTTTCGTCGTAAACAGTCACAAGCGTTTGTGACACAGGCGATCGCACTAGAACGCAGATGGGTGAACTAGCCTTCAGATGTTCACGCTGCACTCATTATCACATCGCCGACTTCATGCGTTGGTCGAATCTGTTTCACTTTTCCGGTCATATTACCAACCGAGCTGCCATCCGTAGACTGCTGTGACTGATTGCTCAAACCTTCTGTGAGAAAGTGTAGCAGGTCGGTATTTCTCGGATTCTGAGAGTCTGGATGATTCCAGCGAGCGGCTGTTCAAAGAGATGGCGGAGATCCTGGTGTCCGAAGGGTACAGGGATGCTGGGTACGTGTACGTGAACATCGACGACTGTTGGTCCACCTTCGACCGCGACGCCAACGGCCGCCTCCAGGCTGATCCCATCAGGTTCCCCAGCGGCATCAAGCACCTCGCAGACTTCGTGAGTCTCGTCCAATCCTCCGTCGCTTTCCTTTTTTGTGATAAAGTGTAAGCCCGCAGTCACACTGTCACAAACCATCATACAAAAAACATGGCATTCGCTGCAGTCATGGTGACATGATCATGTGTGGACACTCCTCATGCATGTTCTAAGCATGTTTGGTTCATACATAAATGGGCTTTGAAAATGTCTGCAGACAGATTTTGTATGACCAATGTTACAGAACCGTCATACAAGGAAGAAGTGCACCTCAGACGAGATCTTTAACGTGCCTCCCACAGTAGTGATCACTGATACAGCTCTGCCCGTTTCGATCTGAACGAGCATCGTACCGGCGTGTGGCATTGTATCACTACCGCGTGAGGCACGTTAAAGGGCCCAGGCAGTAGTAGCGCACTGCCAACAATTTTTGTTTTTTAATGTACAGCGGAAGCACCAGGTGCCCTTCGGAGAAGACTAGCTCTCCGCTGTCTAAACGTACACACAACACAATTACTTTACACGACAAATCTCGGCTCACAAAACATCTGCTCATTACGTTTTTTGCTCGTCCTTATTTGTGATACAAGAACCTTGAAGTTGGGCTCAAATGATGTCGTTGCAGTCCGGTGCAGTTCGTTCAAAGTGTTTGTATGTCAGGGTCACGCTGTTTTAATTTTACCCTCTTCATTGTTGAAAAAAGTGCCCCAGACAGGCACTCCGATCCTGGTGCTCAAGCTATGGTAAAAAAAAAAGAGTAAGTCATTGTGTTGCTTGTATGTTTAGAGAGGAGGAAGTTATTCAGTCACAATGGCTGTCTTGTCCTTCCGCTGTCGACGAGAAATATAGCCAGTGGAGTACTTACTACCTTTAGCGTGGGGTCTTTAACGTGCACCACGCAGTACTGATATATGATCGCACGCCGGTATGATGCTCATCCAGATCGAAACGGGAAGAAGTGGAGAATCAAACCAGGAGCACTGGGATCTGCGGCGAGAGCTTTCCCTCCACGTGCGCCCGCGATGGGCTAACCACTGATCTCTATTGTAGTAGGCTGGATCGCTGATCGACGATTGTTTTGCTGGGATCAAGTGGCACCATCGGCAGCCATTGCTTGACACCACCTGATGCACTTTATGGGAAAAACGATAAAAAGTGCCGTTTCTAAGATGTCCGCACTGAAACTTTTTGGCTACTTTTCGGAAAGTGTACAAACATTAAAACTGACAGCCCTCGCAGTTCTTATCAATAAAAGTTTTGTGGTTGAAAGTGACTCCGCTGGGTGAAAAAAGGAGTGCAGCTCAATGAGGCAAGAGTTGCCTAGAGTTACCGCGGGGTCGGTGGCGGTTTTGATGAGTTGAGTTTAGCAGACGACAAGCTTGATGTCTTTGCAACGTGGAAGTTGCTTACTTACGGAAAACCGCTGGCAAGATAAAACTTTTTCGACATTCATCAACTTGTGGGCTTCCCCGAGGATGGTCTTATTGACGGAAATTTTTGTTTTGTTTACTCCACTACAAGGGCAAGGTGGCCAGTTCAGCCGTGGGTGCCCTGGAATGTTTAATCTCTTAGTAGTCGTTTAAACGCTGGTCAAATGCCGATTCGAACTTCAAACACCCGATACAATGATCGCAGCACACCATACAACTTTCGCCTTCGAGCACCACATACTAATTCCTACTTTCGTGAGTTTCTCCCATAGACTTGAGTGTATCCTGGTGTCAAGCAACGGCCGCCGGCGGTGCCACCGACGGGCTCCCGATCAGCGATTCAGCCTACTTCAATAGAGATTAGTCAGGCGAACACACTCAGCCACTGATCCCTGTAAATTACGGTGGCACAAGGCTTGCAAAAAAGAAAAAAAAAGGGTCTCTATTTTTCTTGAGATGAAGGATCGGTTGAATTGCCCATTCGTACTTATAATTTACGGCGCACAAGAACAATTCACACTGAGACACGCACACCCGTAAAAAAGAAAAGAACGGCTCATTCAGCGCTGAATATCAACTCAGTGTTGTTTTTGGTCTACAAATCTTATAAATCCTCCCACTGGAAACTCGCGAATTATCTCCTACTGATCAAACCTTTTTTTTTTTTTTTTTTTAAATTGGTGAGCACTTTGAACATAATACTTGGGAAGTCGTTTTCGTTCATGTCTAAGAGTAAAACAAAAATTAACGTAGCCGTACACTTTGACCACTTTTGAACTGTCGAGGCAATTATACGGGATTATGCAGTGATGTGCGACATGCAGGTCACTAAGAACTGGTGCAATGCATGATCTGATGCTCACTCACTTTCTTGTAGGAGGATGTTATTATCCTACGTATAGGGCAGGTAGATTTCAAGTAAACGGTGAGCGACTCCAGAAAACTACTTTGAGAAGGTCCCGATGCATTTCGGATGGCGATACCGCCAAACGAATCAATACGGTCATCGATACATACTAATAGCTGTTCTTGAGCCAATGCATAATATAAGTCTAATGTAAATTGAAAAGGCTTGGAAGTCGTTGTCACTATGTTCTTAAAAAAAAATATGACCTCATCTGAGTTTTCTGGCAAGGAGTGATCGTCGATTGTTAGGTAGTTTAATTTTTTTGTGAAAATAATGTTACTGACTTTCGCTAGGTACCCTTTCCCGATACAATCACTCTTAAGGGACAGTCAACGTTATGTGCATTTGCCCTGACAAATATTTCTAAACTAAGATTCTTGTTTTTTTTTTTATGTCTGAGCAAAGATTCGTTAAGTCCAGCATTCGGTATAAGAACCGGTGTATCTCACCAGTTCTTAGTGACCTGTACCTCACAGATAATGACGGATTCCTGCACAGGTGCCTGGACGGTTCAAAAGTGTTGAAAGTGTACCTCTAAGTTGATGATGTTTAATACTGTTAGACATACTGTAAACGAAAACGACATCTCAAGCATTGCATATAACGGTCTGAACATATTTAAAAACTGTTTAGAGCAGTTATATAAATCTTTATGATTCCTAAACCCCCGAGTCCGACTCTTTTTTTTTTCCACTATGTTTGTTGCTTGTGTGCCTCTCCTTTAATTTAATAAGGTAGTTCAAAGTTGGTAAAATAGTGTATAATAAACATATTATTCAAAAACTCTATTAACAAGTCCTGCCAGCATTCGGCCCAAGTATGCTTTGTGGCAGAAATATCTAGGCTACAAGAAGCGGGATACGCCGCACACCTATTAACCTCTGTAACTGAAGACCTCATAAAAAATAAAAACGGTGAAAGTGCAGCGGGCAAGTCAAGAGACAGAATGAAAAGGCCAGCAGTTATACCTTAGAATCACGACATCTCACACTATCACAAGAAGTTATGTCTCGAGAAGTATTCTTTTCAGTCCCCAACAAACTCTTAAGGTTATGCAAAAAAAGGTCAGATCTATTCCAATTCACACCATAGGCTGCACTAGAAAGCATAAAGCCCTTTACATCCCTTGCACTGAAGAAGGGGTTTATTCTATTTCCCTCTTGTGTGGCAGACCATATCTAGGACAAACTGGAAGATGTGTAAGTGACCGCTAAAGAGAGCATGACAGTCACATCAAAACAGCAAATTCTGGGCATCTAGGCATCTACTGTAGGGATTGCGTATGCTAAGTAGACTTAAAAAGCTGCACTGTTATCTGCAAGACTTTTTAACAACTCACGCGAGAAATTATTAAGGCTGAGAACGTTGTGAGGTTGAATGAAAAATGTGTTAGCAACCCTTCTATAATCTTATCTGAGAAAGAGTTGATTTACCTAGTAACATGATGCGTTATGCATGTTGCGTCACGCACGTGATGCGTGATGCACATTTACATCTAGGTTCCCTTTTGCACCTTTATTTTACTTGGTGGTTTCAATTTGCGCCTGATCGACTGGTCTGGAGCATTTCCAACTACCACACCCTAAGAAAAAAGGGAGCGCGATCTTAGTCCCTCGGGGGACCAAATGCGCTGCCACCACCGTTAGTCCCCTAGGGGAGCAACTGTAACGGGAGCAACAGTTGCGCCTGTCCGTTAGTCCCTCGCACTAGCACCGTTGGGACTAACCGTTACACCGTTTCAGTTGCACCTCGAGGACCAGCTGTTAGGCCCTTGCAGTTGGTCCCTTGAGACCAACTGTTACACCGTTTCAATTGAACCTCGAGGACGAACTGTTAGGCCCTTGCGCTTGGACCCCGGGGACTAATTGTTACAACGTTTCAAATGAACCCCGAGGACCAACTGTTAGGCCCTTGCACTTGGACCCCTGGGTCTAAACGTTGCGCCCTTGGATTTAGACCCCTGGGACTAAAGGTTTATCCTTTACATTTGGTCCCGAGCCACAAATCTCCGATACGAAATTGTGCAGTTCAGGTTAAACGTAGCTTTATTAACTCGTAGATACACATCGCATTCAAGGATGACTGAAGTCAAAGTTCCTGAACGGTAGAATCCACAATAAAGCAAAATTCCGAAGAGTGCATTTGCGTCGACGATGGCTTGAACACTGGGACGTCTGTCCGAACCGGTCGTGGTCTAGGCACCGTTTATTGGGGCACCGGCAGCTTCTTGTCTGTTTGCGAGGAGTTTGGATTATTAGCAACAGGGGCAGCGTGAAATACCCGTTCAAGAAAAGTATGACGTATAACATACACATAATAAAATACCAAATGGCTAGAAAAGTGCTACAATGGTTCATATCTAACATGCGATCTGTTGGCAGCAGACCAGCGCAATATTATATTTTTAGTAGACCGTTCGCTGCGAATTACAGACCCAGCGTGTGCGTGCTCAAACTATGCTTCAAAGTGACGGAACGAGCTCCCGCCATCAACGCAAAAGTCTGTACAATCGAATAAATGTATCCATTAAGGCCGGTTCTCACACGCAGCGAAGCGCTGAAGTAGTGCTGCTCACGTGTCGTGAGCTGCTTTTCGTCTGCCATGAGCAACAGTTTTGACGGCGCGATACAAAGCTGGTGAAAGCTCCCGTCAGCACGCGCTTAGCGCTAGGTCAGCGCTATGCT